TTATAGAAAGCGAGCATGAAAATTTAAAGTGTAAGTTAAAGTTTAAGGTTGATAATTCTGATAATATAATCCTAGAGTTAGGAACCATGCCACATATTACGTGGGCAATGATTAGAAACATATATATTTGAAGTTTGAAAATAAAGAAGTTATACATACAAAAAATATGTTTTCATGAAAATTCTTAGTACAAGGGATTTTTTTTTTTTGGGGGGGGGGATAGGGATTGAATAATGAAAATTATTTTATTCTGATATTTTTTGTGCTAGAGTTGTGAACCTTGTCACCTGCGATGTGGTTGATGTTTGAAGTATGGAGTAGATATCTTAAGAAATAAAGAAGATAAAGTGAAATGTAAGAAATTTGGACGCAGTTGTCGTGATAGTTTAGCCGAGCTTAAAATGACATTATCTCCATACTGCCATCTATCCATATTTTAAGTTTTATAAAAATATTTTCAGTACTTTTTTGCGTTATTACGGAACCCAGGTTTTGTACGCGGACGGACAAACAGACAGACAGACAGAGAGAGGGCGAACCTAATTTCCCCTTCGATTAAACCGGTAGGGGACTAAAACAAATCAGAAGCAAAAGTGCATGTGCAAACTTTAAAATAAATGTTTCTTTGTCTAAATTTAGATTAAAGTAAGAAAAGTGTAAGTAACTTAAACTCGCTAGAGACTGTTTTCTTCTCTTTGAGTCTCTTATATTTTGTAAGTAAAGTATGTGTCACAAAAAATATTTTATTCGTATGTGACTGTAATTTAACATGACGACACTCAGTTGAATACAATATATTATCTAAAAAACGGAAATGACAATTATCAAGATCTTGTCTTTTGATTGGAGCATGATTACCATATCTAAAGAAAATAGGTCAAACAATGGGTTGACAAATGTGCTGAACTCATGTTACTACTGTTTGGCAAGTGTCATTGTCTTTTTTCTAAAGTAAGAGCTACTTGTTTTAAACAATGAATACATTAACCTTTGTAACGCTTATGGAACGTGATGACTTAAAACATAAATAGAAGTAAAAGGAGTTTTTCTGGTGCAAAAAATAGGAAGAAAAACAAAGGAAATTTCAAACACGGTATTTTATTTTCAGTTTGTGAAAGTAATTAAGTTAAGTAAAACATCAGTTATTTTCCGCATACAGTTTAACTACTGAAATTTTGTCTGCACGAACACAATTTTGATGCATCAAGCATCAGTAGTCAGGCACATAACAAATTCAGTCGGAATTTACACACAATCATGATTGAATAAGATCAAGAGAAGACCACTCTCAAATTAGCATAGTATTTTAACATGCATACATACATTTTATATATCATTACTCGGCACTTTATCATGATGTTTGCGTAAATATAATCGACCATAATGTAATAAAAACAACAAAATTTCACGTTTTCTTTTTTAATTTTGAAAATGAATTTTATCAAATAGAGCTTTATACCCTTTAACAACGGGAATTTAATTTAACCAAATAAAAACCATTACAGAAGTTAATTGGTTTATGTGTGTATATATATATATATCATCGTACATGTTTATTACTCGCATTACTAATATGCGTGTCTCATTAAATTGGTAAAATAATGTTTTAATCTTGTTTAAGTTTCAGTTCGTTTAAACGTAAATTTAACTTTTCACAAATAATCCGAGCATTTCAAGGCATCAGAATAGCACATTCGTGCATTATTCCCTTTTTACCACAGTCGATATACAGGTATAGGAGAGAGAGAGCATGGTCACAGCTATAATAACCGTATTTTCCAAATCATGTTGTTTTCCCAAGGCAACATCCCGAAGAGCTAAGATCATCCTAGCCAACAAACGCTTTTAATAGGTCCTACTTTTATAGAACTTCTCCGTGTTCAATTCACCATAATTAATGTGTATAGAGTTTAGTAGAAACGCGTAATGGACATTTCGCCTTTTTTCAAGCATTCGAGTGTCTTATTTGCACAATTTCTGTTTTCAGTTACGAAGACAGGACTCGTAGATATTGAAATAAATTGTTGAATAATATTTAAGTGCCATCTTTCATGCAAACGAAAGTATGCCAATTTTGTGATAGGAAGCGTGAGAGATGTTGCACGTTTGCATTATCAATTATGTACAGACTCAATCAAACCGAGACTGCAATTTTCATATAAAATTGTTGTTTTCGTTTAATTATTTCTGATGGATCTCCCTTGCCTCATTAAGATTATCTATATAGTAAGAAATTAACAAATGCTTATTATAAGTTTTTTCCAAACATGTATGCACAATCTAAACTTTCAAAGAAATATATCAATACAGAATGGTAAAGGTATGGTGACATTTCAACTTCTTGAATTCTCGGATTTTTATTCACAAATTCACAATTTTAACTTAATTCCCGATTTCAACTTCATGAATTCGCATTTTCAACCATTTTACGAATTAACGATTTCAACTTCACAAATTCATGATTTCAACTTCACGAATTCAACTTCATGAATTCAGGTTTTCAACTTCACGATTTCAACTTGAAGTTTAATTCATGTAGTTGAATCGTGAATTTGTGAAGTTGAACTCGCGAATTCGTGAAGTTGAAATCGTGAATTCACGAAGTTGAATTCGTAAACTTGAAATCGTGAATTCATCTAGGTGAAAGTGTGAATTCACAAAGTTGAATTCATAAACTCGGGAATACATAAAGTTGAAATGTCTTCACCGGTCTTTTGTTTAAAGGTCATTTGATACATTGTACTGATGCCAACTTAACAGTTTTCACATTCCCTTTCATTTCCTTAAGACGACAGACTGTTTTATCGACTGTATTGTTTTGCGATGACGTATTTCGTATTGAACTTTTCGTATTGAAGTGTGTCAAACCTAATGATGTAGTCAGTCAGCCTGCACCTATGTGCTTTGATTAACGTAATAGTGAATGGTATTGTCACATTTATTGCAATGATAGCTAACATATGTGATAATAAATACATAAAGGGAACAATGAGATATTTTGTTTATTACATGCCACATATAAACCTGAATCTGTTTCCCATAATTTCTTGCCATACGTTCATTATGCCATAAAATGTCTGCAAGTGTTCATTTATATATTAATATCAGTTTAATTAAGACTTATCGAGACTTTTTGACTTTTTCGTGTTAAGTAATCTATAAAATGGTTTCATTACATACACTTATTCTTGTTTTATACATGCATATAGTTTACTATGTATTCTTTTTGCATTTGACCCAGCACGAAATTCGGTATTAAATTTTAAACCTAAACCGAACTAGTATATGTATGATACTGAAAAAATGGTACTAATTTTTATTATCTACTAAAATCAGTTAATCAGATAATGTTCGTAGCCAAAGAAGTCAATTGTAAATAATACTCGTATATTGATTTCTTTTGCCTGTTTAGATTGTTTAAAACATTAAAACATTAAATTGTACAAAAATCAAATAATATTTATGGGTTTGAAAATTTGCTAACCATTAGCTTCATAAACAAGAATAACACGTTAACATTAAAAAAAGAAGCATTCGATCTTAATGGTCAAAGAAGTGGCCTGCTAGTTTTAAATGAGTGGCAGGTTGATGTTAATGACCAAATGTGTGACAAGTTGCACGTAAATGCAGATTATTGATCAGCTTTGAATGGTAATCTAAATGTATTGATACCCAACATGGTATTCTTATTTGAATTGTAAAATAATTATCTCAATCAGGGCTGAAGTTGTCGCCAAGAATTAATATATATCATTTTAAACGATAAGATGAATGAACTATATAGTAAATGTATCATTAAAGTATGTCAGGATACATTTTGATAGGTCATTTAGCATGATGTTAGATCGGAATAATCAGTTAAAAGGCCTTCACGTGAAAGGACGGGTGAACTTTGATTTAGCGTAGGAAACAAAAGCATGCTAGACAAATCAATGTTTTGGCATACATATATAGAAGTTCTGCGACAGAGTAGGTGAACCGTTCAAGGGACAGTTAATCAAGATACGCTCTGTACGGTGTGACATTGTTTGTCTTTATTAATGTTGACAACATGTGTTATCCAAACTGACTTAAAATTCACTGATACTATTGCTAAAAAAAGTTTTATGTAAAGTAAATCATGTCTGTCTAGAAAAAAACTGTAGAAGAACAGCAAATGCTCAATATACTTAATGTAAGACTTGAGGTTTTTAGATTCAAAGAAAGAATCTATTCTGAAAGTTTCGCGAAATCGTGAAATAAGGTGTATGAAAACGTATATTATGTATGCTGATACGTTTTGATAACCATACAAAACAGCCAAGGTACAGGAATATGAGTTATGCAAAATAATTATATATAAGAGAGAATTGCACTAAATTTCGGTACAAAAAAATGCACCTACGCATCACCTCATTCAATACATATAATAAACGCGTTAGAAGTAGAACAATTTATACATAACTCCAGGTATAAATCTATAATATTACTCATTTTCCTGAAAAATATTTATATATATTTCATCATTTGAGGAATATGATATAATTACATCATATTATCCGTAGAAATAAACTTAATAAAATTCAGATGTATTTGCAGGTAGATATGTGAACAATAACTTGGGGTTAAGGCACAAGCAAATACTAGCGATATCACAAATATTCAAGATATATACACTTATAACTTTTATTTTTAACATTCTAACATTTTATATGATCAGTTTTATAAACAATTTACGATATTGAATCGATAAAAATGTTCCAATTTTATTAATTTATTTATTCATAATTGACATAAATAACAGTCTAGATAGAAACCTTATTCTAATTTTTGCAAATGATTCCTTTTTATCTGAAACTTTGAAATATTCATAAAACACTTTCTATTACTATGAAGATTATCACTGAAACAAAGACGTGTAAAACATGTGTAAATTACTCACTGAAGCTTATATATTCATTTCCTACGAAGAATAGCAGGCATTTACGATAAATCTAAAATATATTACAGACATCCAGTATACACAAGTGTAAAGGGAATTGCATGTTGTCAATCAAGAAACAGAATTGTTATTTTGAGGTATTCGGAAGCAGACAACAGACGTTGAATATAATTCTGTTTCATCTTAATGAAACTACTCCAATGAAGTACGATATATCAAGGATGATGATATATATCATTTTAAACTGGTGTAAAAAAGTGCTTGTTAGTATATTTTGATTTCCGTTCACATATGTGAAACAAAACAAAAAACATACTCAGGAAATACACAGCGTGACTGGTAAATTTTTTTTATATGTGATTTGACTAGTTATTTCGAGCAGAAAGGAGGCATATTGATTTTTTAAAGTCAAAGTTGCACTTTTATCCGATGATGTTGTTAAAGATTCAATTTATATTGTGAAACTATGGGAAATAAAATTGTAAGAAGTAGTTTGAATAAACCTCGAAAGAGCAACCAGCTGAATACTTGTTTATCACCAGAGCAAATAGAACTTGTACAATCTTCATGGCAGCTAATACAGTCAGATTTGCCCGAACTTGGTCTCATTATTTTCATAAGGTAAGTTGAATATTAAATCAAAATAATTTAAAATTGTGTAATTTAGATTTTATCATTATAAATCATAAACACATAGTAACCCATATTTACATTAGAAAGTAATGAATGCAAAAATAAAAATATGAAATATGAATGATTCTATATATAATATTTTTGTCAGTTTATATGAATTTAATTTTCTTAGTTATAATAGTTATATAATAATGTATACCTCTAAAGTAATGTAAAGTTAATTTTACATGGAACATGTATTTAGTGTCGGTGCATGATCTGATATAACGCAAGTTTAAGAAAGTTATGTAATACTTTTATTGTACATGATGTATAAACATTTCGCTGAAAAATACATTACATACTAGTTGCTTTTCCTGGTAACAACACACACAATTTGATAGACAAATTCAATCTGATAAAGCGCATTTTATATTCTTTTTTCAGCCTTACATTGCAATTTCAGATGAATCGTTCGTTAATATATCTGTAAATGCAAAAGTTGCGTAAAATATATATTTTCGGATGCAGTAGAAGTGCGATGAAATAATTCTTTTGATTTAATACTTTGGCAAGCTCGGTTCTACAAATGAAAGTTATGAAATAGGTTTTAGGTATAATTATTTTGTTTAATTTAAGAATACAAGGAATCGCAACGAAAAAATATTAATGAGGGGACTATTTTCCATTCGAACTATTAATTTCACTATCTATTGAATAATCTGTTTAAAACACGCACCTACCGATCTACTCGTACTTAATGAAGTGTTCCCGTTCATACTTACATCTTCATATAATTATAAGTTTGGTCCTTATATAACTATGTTAAACTCAGAATACGGAAATACGCTTAAGATTCTTAAGATTGACAATAAGATACATCAAAATAAAACCTTGAAGTTGTTTACTGTTTTACATATATATATTGAATCATTAATTGAGATCTTCTTCATCCGGCGAAATACTTTAATTATTGTTGAATAGAGAAGTTGACTGACAGTATATTTGGTGATGTTTGACAACTTATTTGAAACAATACGTGACTATGGTAACATATGGAAAAAAAACCTTTTATAAAATTATTTATACTGACTTTTATCATTCAATGATAAATTAAAAAACGAAGCAGACATGAATGATGTTATTTTGATTATTATATTTACTCATAATAGTTTGAATAAGTAAATAGACTGAATGCATTAAGTGTAGTTTTATGGCTTTGTCTGTCTTAAGTTACCTTAAAATTCCTTATTCATAAAAGACTTAAGAAACCAGTTTATTACTCTCTAATGTTAATAAATTGGTTTACACTCAAGTGGTACGCTAATAGAACCTATCCTTCGACATATTATAGCGACGTGACAAATTGTACAATGATGCAATATGAGGTGTATGTGTATGTTTTGTATGTTTATAAGAATTTGTTTGTTTTAAATTAATTTCGAAATTTCTCATCCATAAAAGAGTATACTAGAGTCTGTTATGTTAATAAGTTGCTTAACATTCAAGTGTGACATAACGGGCACCTGTCTACATGAAATTGTGACGTGGCTAAATAGTTAATGAGTCTGATAAGTAATCGAAGTATTGCTGAACACGTGGTTCAGACCCTGTTTGGGGCAACATGTTGATTCTTTTAGCAAGGAACTTTACACTCAATACTAAATAGTTTCAGAAACCTACTAGATAATGTGTATCTATAATCTTTTAGCTTTTTAAGCAATAAAATTAAATAAATGCTTTACAAAAATGCAATATTTCTTTGCGATAGGTTTTGTATTTACGCATATTGTTTGAATGATGAAACCAAATGTTACTCTTCATTTAAATGAACGCAATGTTAAATTACAATTAGTGAACATATGTATAAGACTCGAATAAATGTCTTATATTTAAAGCTGCCATATATTTGTATTGTTAATGTTTAAGAATAGAACAGCAATATACATATAATAAAATACGTAATATATAACACTGACACTAGTAATACTAAAGAATCGCTGCATTATCTGATTTGCGTTAAGTGGATCCAATAGAAATGTTGTTAATTGATAAAAAAGAAGAAAAGAATAAATTAAAAACTTTAAAAACTTTGAAAAATATTCATCCGTTTGACACAATTATTTTTAATTGAACTAAGCTATCCCGCAAAGATGCTTCGAAATATTTTTTGAATTCAAAGATTCAATTGTCGTTTTAACAATTGACAAGAATTCTTATATCTTAGCTCCTTTTCTCATTCTTTATTTGTGATAAAGTATGACGCTGACATGCTATCATAACATCAAGTAGACTGGCTGTCCCTGGATGTTTAATCATTTCTCTTTTTCTTTTCGATATTAATACGAGTACATTAAAATTCTTTAATAAAAACTTCGTTGCATATTATTCTTTGTGAAATTGCACAGTAAGTTAATCAGGAGTTATTAAGATACAAAATATCTGTATTAGACTTCAAAGCCATTGAGTTATTTTCAATTCTAATATTTACGAGATTTAACACATATTTAATCAAGAAAGATATATATCGTGTTGTGTTTGTTCTTTGCTTACAGGCAAAACTTAGCTCAGCTAAATTTCGGCGCACATGAAAGTATATATTGTTGGTTTTTTTGCACATCAAAATGAATGGAATATAAAGATGATGTAAATTGTCTAACGCAAATATATTATCACTACCCATATTTTTCTTACAATTTGAGAGTATAGATACTAAGATATTCGTTGAAATTCCGAAGTATGGTCATTGCTAACGGTTGAGTCGTGATAAAATGTTTTAAAACATGGTTAAGTTGCATTGACTGCAATTATTATTATATTTTCTGTATTTTTAGTTTCTAAGTTAATGTGTCATTTTGATAAAACCCTCTTTTGTTCAAAATCAATCTTTTTTTATCAGTCTTTAGAAAATAAGAATTAAAAGTAAAAATGAAAGTCAGAGTATATGTATCATTGAGAAGGTGAATAATTAAATAAGTAAAGTCTGTTATGCAAATCTATCATAAGTCGGTCAGTTAGTTAAAGATTTGCTTTTATTTTATGCTTTTCAGTGGATTACTGGTTTATCCGTGAAAATTATATTTGATAATTCCACAGTGAAATTATCCAAATATAATTTCATACTTTTCAGTGACGAAACTACTTTCGTAAGATTTTCCCATGTGGTACCTCAATTTTATTTTTGCTGACAATTCTGACAATGTCAGACTGTTAAGAGAAAAGCAAACCTGAAATTGATAAATGACTTAAATGTCAAAAGTAATAAAAAGAAGAAAAACTTACTTCTTCTCGTATTCATTCAAATTAACAAGCACCAAATATCGTATCTTATTTTTGTGTTTCATTTTTACAGTCTATAAAAAACCCATTCCTTTCACATGCAAAACTGCTCTTGATGACATTTGGGCATATTTAAGTATCCTACAAGCAATAACTGCCGTATGCTTTATGAAAACTTGAAAAGCAATGACAGCCATCAGCCAAAGAAAAAGTAAACAACCCAGCGTTCGTTAGGCAGCCTTTCATCTTTCAAAGTTTTCCAATTTCCTTGCCGCTTTTTGAATGTTTACACTTCTGTCTGTTTGTTTGTTACAAATCTCAAATAAGTTTTCATTCTTTTAAAAATGTGTATGACTAACAAATCCAAATGATATCCCTCTGACTCAAACACAATTATTTTCCTCCCGTGAAATACACAACTTTAAAAAAAATTGGCGGCCGCTTACATTTAATAAAGCCATGTCCAATATAAATTTGCTGTAAGTAACAGAATATGGATGGATGGATGGATGGACTTTTTCTCCTACTAATGTCTATAATGTTTGTTTTTATTATTAAAACAAGCGATCATTCATATTTTTTAAATAAAATGAATAATATCACCGCCATTTAACGTTGATTGTCGAACTTATTTTTCTGCCCAAGAATTCTTGTATTTAATGAGAAATTCAACTAAATGAGGCTCGCAATGGGGAAAACAGATTTTAATATTAACTTTAATATTAAGGACATTTCGTTTTAACTTGTTTTTAAGCATAAAATAAAAAGAAAATTTGTTTGTTTGTTGTGTAAGGTGTAATTTTATTTCATCTCGTGAACTTTAAAAACTTTTAAAGCCCACTCGATGAAATAAAATTTAATCTTACACACAAACAAACAAATATCCTCTATATCATAATGTCTAGCGCATTATTCGGAATTTCGCATCTCGCAATTAACGAAATTTTTTGAATTCAGATATTTGAATATACTAGTATGTAGTATACATTTTATAATATATTACTTTTTACATTTAGTGTAACGCTCATTACAGTACATGTTTGACGATTATATAGAACACATGGCTATCTTTAATGATATCGTGTTTTTCAAATTAAACAAACATGCACAATGAAACACATACGAACAAATTATGCTTGCGGTTTTTTATTTATCAAATTTATTGATGGAAAGTGATTTCCTAAAACTGAAGGATTATACCACCAAAGACGTTTTATATGATAAGCAACAACAGCTGTTTAAATTGTTTCATGTATATTATAGTTAAAAGATCTTGAAAACTTATTTCTATACTAAGCTGCAAGCCTAAAGTCAATAAGATTCGAAATTATAATGTATCCCATATAACTTATATAATTATTCATTTTGTCATTAAAAAATTCTTTTATTATTTTAACCAATAAACGATCTCCAGCCAGTTCAGTGCATTGACTGAAACACATTAACGTGCAAAACATTATCCTGTACTCTTTGATTTTGTAGAGAAAATTAGATAGACGACGGGTGTTAAGTACACGTCAATTATTCTATCAAAAAACTGTTTTAAAGCTTTATCAATCCAAAATTATCTGAATCTATTACTGAGTGAAAAGAAAATACAAAAAAGTTAAACGAAGGACATGTGCCTGGTAGATAAGAAACGGAAATAGTTTTTCTCAGGTTTGTTGTCTAGTTAACTTTATTGACTTATATACACGATGTGAATGGATAAATTAATGAGACGTAATGTG